ACTAAAAGGTCGCAAAATTATATTTGATGTTTCATCTCTTAAGATGTTTCACGAACGCCGTTTGCTGTTTGTCATCACTGGTTTCAAAAGCAAAATTAGCACGTTTGGTGAAATCCGACGAAACGAATTTCAAACGGCTGTGTGAACTTCGTCCCCATAAGATTTCTAGGATAACTACTCGATCGATCTTGTTATTCTCACGTCGTTTCTCTCTTTCAAGCTCCTCCTTCCAAAGCCACCCATCTCCCACGTCCCCTATCTCGGAGCTGAGCTGCGAACTGAACCGTCTCGGTCCTCCGGAGACCTCCCGCGCTGCTGGTCCGTCTCCCCGGTCCCTACTCCGGCTCTGCGGCCTTCCGTCCCTCCCGTCTGCCTCTCGGGGTTAATGAAACCGGCGGCGTCTGCTCCACAGCCTCCGCTCGCCGCCAGACGAGCCCGGCTCGATCGATCCACGGCCGCTGACAGAGGGTGTTTGAAGCAAACTGACGCACACCGTCCCAGGAGAATCTGCATAACAGTTAGGGTGTCAACTCCACTCCCCGGCAGAAGGGTCGGCCGAGGAGGAGCGAAACGATGGGCTCGGGCGGGGAGAGGATGGCCTGATTGCGCCAGGCGATGGACTGAGGTGGCTAGACCAAAGACTGATGGAGGTGGGTGGTTAGAGACGGTGGCTGATGGTGAGAGACTTTGAGAGACGGTGGGGACTGGGAAAGTCCTAACTTTTTTATAGTTTTTGCTTTGTATGTGTTATGACTTATGAACCTGCAATAGTCTTTGTCATCACATTTGAATAAAAACAAAGATGTAATAGTTTGTATTTAACCAATTACCAAAGAGTAGTTTTCTACGGCATCATGGCCTATAGATAACCTCGGATCGGCGAAATGAAAAAAATCCTGGATGCTTGTTATTGTTACCTATGACGCTTTGTGAACTTGCACGCTGCGCAAGTTTGAATGAAATCGATGCAAAACTCTGGATTTTACATTGACATAAGTATTAACTGTTCATACACTTTGGCATATAGCTGAGGTGGAGCTGCATGCTACTTATTTTGGTCATTATTTTTCCCTGAGCTGACGCTCTAGCAACACGGAAATTGGTGGCGAAGAGCACAACAAAGCCACTTATTGCCGCTACCTTTCTCCCTCCCTGACAACTGGTCCGCTATTAACCCTCCTCGGCCGAGAGGGTGCCGCCCCATGCCGGTTTTTCGCGGTAGCCGAAGACACCGGCAATAGAAAACTGAAGATTGGCATTCCTAACCTTTGATTCAATCCGGATTTTGTGACGCCAACTGGGCTTATAAGTCAGCGCAGGTCACTGACCTATGGCGTCATAAGTGAACTTCCGTTCGGTCTTAAAATGTTTCAACCCGGCATCACTTTCAGTAAGTACCAGAAGATTTTGTTACAGTGAGATGAAACTTACCGGACTCGGTAACCCTCCAAGCCCTCACAACTGTTAGGAATATTTCGAATTTTTCAAAGTTTCAACTGAGGTCATATCGATCACGTGACGTCTCCGAGTCACCGTTATAATATGTGGGTAACTTTGGGAAAAAGGAAAACTGTTACTCTGGCGCCAGAAGCAATCGAAGACTATCTCAAGCACATTTAAACGTGATTTCGTACACTTTTTGCAAGGCTATTGTCTCACTTTTGCATTGTCGAATTTGCATGAGGTCATATACCTACCTATAAGACGTCATAAGGTCATCGACGTTTTTCGTCATAAAATCCACATCTAATTGTGCTAGAGAGTCGGAAAACCTACCAATGGTCTCAAAAACACCTTCCAAATTGAATGATATGTGATATGACCTTCGACCGACTTCGTGACCTGAGAGGCCGTGACCTGACCTATACCAACTTCCTGACCCGAGAGGCCGTAACCTGACCTTGCCCTGAGATCAACACTATAAGTTGATCTTTCCCAAACAAAAAAGTATATCACTCCCAAATGGATATTGCCAAATTCGCGAATTTATGACCATTTTTGGTGAAGCTATTTAGTGGCATACCTACCTATGGTTCTGTATTGAGCTGCATTAGAAGTCGATCATCTGGCTAAATAAAGATAAGCATGTTTGAAGGAGCTGGCTTCATACGCCTGAGTTTCGTTGCGTCTCTGACAAAAAGATCTCTTATACGGCCTCGGATCAGCTAAACTTTCGGTCTGCGCAGAATCGCGAAGGCCGGCGTTATCCCGAGGCATAAAGCTTAAAAAAGCTTTAATTAATAAATAAATCTCGCCTCGCCTGGCTTTTGTATTTTCTTAGGTCTGAATATTTAATGCATCACATTTTATAATTGTAGCCGTTATCCATACTACGAAACAAACAACACTCCTATGCCTTGTCAGTCAACTACTGAGTGGTGTATCCGAGGAACGGCGCTCAATTTTTCTGCAGGGCCGTCCTCCCTCTGCTGTCCGGTTCAACTGCACGGTATGCAGGCGGCTGGCGGCCGGCCATGTGACGACGCGACCCTCCGGTCACCATGGCAACGCCGCCGTCGCGTCGATGGTAGGGTTGGCCATTAGAGGGGACTGACCAGCGCGCCGTGGGGTGGACATAGGGGACCGGTACCTGTCGATTGGAGGGGAGGGGCCGGGGGCAGGAGGTGGGTGCGCCGCGGGTCTACATGAAGAGAGACGGATGGGTGCTGCTTAGGATTTGTATTTTCCCGTCAGTATGGTGGCATACAGGATCCACAGGACTAATGGACCCTAGTCGGCATATGTTTCTAATGGTTCTCCGTCATAGAGTATCACCCCTCACATCGAGCCGCGTCAGCACCTACATCGCTGTCGGAAGTCCGCCCTCGACTTCCGTTCCGTGTCTGGGCGGCTGCCACTGCCCGCGCCGCCTCTAAATCTGGCCCGGCGGGCCGGAGCGGAGGCGGTGGTGCGGCTCGACCGACCTCTCGCCGTCACCGGTCCCAGATCGTTACCGGAGAGCCGAGAGGAGAGGAGAGCGGAGTCGGTCCACCGCGCCGTCTCGGTCCGTTCCACCGCCGCTGGCCAGCTGACCACGCCGGCGGCGGCGGCAGACGCGGCGCCGGGCCTGGACCGACGGGCCGACGATCAATACGCACCATGCCCACGGCGTCGGCGGTGCCCCGGCCCCGTCGGCGGCGACACTCGACCGACAGACGGTCGGACAGAGTCCTCGCCCGCCGGGGTACCCCGGAGAGGTGGCGGGCCGAGCGGACAGCCGAACGCAGGTGCCGGGACAGATACCAGCAGCTCGGGCCTTAAACATGTTGTCAAATATATATTGTTAAGCCCATTTTAACAAAATCTGATTTGGTTCAATCACAACAATCTGGAGCGCCCTAAAGAGGATTTTGATCCTGAATCATACTGTGACAAACAGTGGGTAAGCGATGTTCGTAAGGTCGTCAAAAAACACTAGACAAATACTTACGTCGGTCATTTTTAGGCCAAGTGAAACGTCAAATCCACGAATGTCAATACAGATAATTTTGCGAAAATTGAAACAACCTGTCTGCGATATTTCTTGCTTGTATGATTTAATTGCAATCAGTGTCGCGTTTGTCTTTTCGAGACGCGTCGAATAAGCAATGAGTTGTCCTTTAAAGGGACACTCCCACCTTAACATTAGTTTTGAGTTGAGATAGCCAAATTGGTGGCCATGGCCTGCAAATACCGGTTTGGGCACTCACAACATCGAAAAATGCTTTAATTCGAAGATATGGAATTTCAAACTTGCAGTTTTCGGATTCTAAGGGGCTAATGCATTGGAATGCCCCCTTAGAATTTGTGACGTCAGCGGAGATTTAACGATTTTTAAATCTTAGACTAAAACCATCGTTAACACGTGGTGGTATACGCTGCTTTGCGCGCAACGTCTGCCGCACTTTAAGGCTGCCAAATTATTACTTCCAAATAAAGTCGCTAGTAACAGGGGAGATCCCAAAAAGTAAACAAAAGTAAAAGCCTAATATCTTGAAAACCAGTGAATATTTTTCGGTGAAATTTGGTAGATATTCGTTTTCGCTCTTTCTGAACCAAGGGACATCACTTTCATGCCAATTCATTAACTTTTTTGAAGGTGGGAGGGTCCCTTTAATATCAATTTGAAAACGTGACATCAAATCAAGATCGTGACCTGACCTGAAAAGGCCATGCTACTTCTCAGTCAATTAATATAGAGGATCATCGCACTCACTCAAGCTGACATTTTATTCAACTTATCTGAATGAAAAGTGATTTTTAGAAGTGTTGGTAACCTTTTCGTGACCTTCAAAGAGCCATGTATCGATAGGCTGCATGACAAGACAATATAGAAAATATACTTATAATCTGTTTGAACCCGAATGTGCCACGAAGATAAAAAGTGACAAATGTAGAGCCGTGAGCGGAGAGTCAGTGGTTTCCGGCGTCTCCCGGCTGCGCCATTTTGCCGTTCCATTATCAGCTGGTGGTGGGCCAGTCCTCTGCACGGCCACTGTTTGCACTGGGCTCGGGCAGCGGTGCAGCGTGCACCTCCGGTCCACTGGCCACTGGCATGTGTGTATGTCTGTGTGCGTGTGTGTGCGTGTGTCGCAATGGCTTGGTCCGCCTGCCACGTATGCGGCTCAGCAGCAATGGAGCCCTCCTTCCCATATACCGGTTTGGACTGCTGGGAACTTGGAAAGCTGAAGCGGCTTTCGATGAACAAAGGAGTGTGCTAATGAACTTCAGGAACGTTCCTGTAAGCGTTTAGTCTAGCGATATACTCATAGTTGTAAATGTTGTTGTTTAGCTGCTAGCGATGTGTCCATTTTATGTTCTAGTTGTTTTCTTTTATTGATTCACTGATAGTGATGACATTGAATATCATAAAAACTTTCCAGCTCGCGTTGTTTTTAGTGTTAGTGATATCTGTCTGCCTTCCGATCGCCAAAGAAATACGGACTCATATTTATATAAATAAGGTCTGGTGTTTCATCTCTCCATTCAGCTAAAGACGCACGGGCGAATAAGACACTCGGTTTTGCACGGGGTGTTGTATTTATTACATAGGTTTGGCACGAGCACGCCTATAAAACCACACAGACCGCTGGATGCGACAGGGACCTACGATCGCGCACAGCAATATACAGGCCAAGCAGTCTGGTGTCCTCCCGCCCCCACCCAGCCCACGGCGCTTCAAGCGGCTAGGCACGTCTTTCCCGGCGGCACCCGCCTACCCAGGCCGGGACATCAACGGGCGAGCGGAGCGCACACACACGGTCTCTCTCTCTCTCTCTCTCTCTCTCTCTCTCTCTCTCTCTCTCTCTCTCTCTCTCTCTCTCTCTCTCTCTCTCTCTCTCTCTCTCTCTCTCTCTCTCTCTCCCGAACACACCTACAAACCTATTCGCACGCGCGCCAGAAGAGGCTAGCGGTGGGGAAGGCGAGGCTGTGGGACAGCGCCGACTGTGCGCGGGCAGGACGGCCCCTGTGGGACACCACGCCCGGCCTGGGGCCGAGCGACCTGCCTCACGCCGGAAAACCTTAGCCGAAGGCGCTGCAGAGCTGCGTCGTAAAACGACCGACGCGACGGTCAGCGGCGGCGGCGGCGGCGGCGGTCCGAGCCGCGGTCCTCCCTCACATGGAGGGAGCGCGGAGGGTCCGCCGCCGCCGCCGCCGCCGCCGCCGTAATGACCGGGCTGACAAAATCAATAGGCGCCAGTTTAGCCACGCGCGGCGTGGTTCATGAGAGAGCCTCCCCAAGTTGGACTTGTAAGACGGCTGGGATCAATACGCGGGGTAGGCGGCGGGCGGGCGGCGCCAGCTCGGCTGGGCGCGGCCGCAGGCGGAGAGTGGAAGGGGCGCGCTGGACCTAGGGTCCAGCGGCCACCGAGCGGCGGCCGGCGACACAAGGAGCCGCTCAGAGCGAGGCCGGCGGGCGGTACAGCCAGTTCATAGCGTGCGCACGCGGGTGACTCGTGCCTGGAGGGAGCCGATATTTTGATTGAACGCCTCTCACTCAGCATACCCCGTGCATCACGATACACTTGATAACTACAACCAATGCAACATAGAGACGCGAGAGAGCTCGCGACACTTCGTAAGCCCCGAACAAGACGCGGTATTAGTGAAAGCGATATAGATGATTGAAATAGACTAAAAATGATACTTTCTTAAAAATTTAGACCAAATTATTATAGGGCGTTCAGCTTAGAAATATTTAAAGTACGAAAAAGATCGGATCTAAATGAAGTCGGATATTGGATCGCGGCGCGGGAGTCTATGAATTGTACACGGCAACAATACGCTACCACCCGACACACGCGCATGGCGTTATACAAATGTTCACTACACTTAAAGTGCTGCCTTAGACATAACGAGCCTAGCCAATATCGTTCCGTTTTGCGGACGCTGGGCAGTCCCATGGACAGATCCTCACTCACTCACACACAGACTCACGCAGACACGCACACACCCACGCAGTGATGCTAACAGATGACCCGCGGCTCGCCGCCAGCTCACTGCACCGGCGCGGCTCGAGACAAGCAATGTTCCCCACATCATCACCGACACTGCGCGCCAGGAAAAAAAAAACAGAACACACCGGCAACCATGAGGCCACCCCAACAACCAGGCGAGCCGCGGCGAGACCGAACCCTGCGCGTCTCGCCTCTCCGTTATACGGCGCTGTGCAGCCAGAGCGCACGGCGACCGGCCGCTAACCTAGCACAACAAACAAAGGAATGCCACGAGACTAGACCTAGCAACAAACATGCCCTATCATAAGCTTCATAGATGCGCCGCCGTCCGCACGTCGTCCGGCGCCAATCGGCGGCGCCGCGGCGCGAGGAAATAACACGGGGGCGTCGCCGGCTGCCGGTCTCTCACGGCTGAGTGATACGCTGCTATTGAGAGGCGAGCGGCAGAGGGCTAAAGCCTTGCTGGCGACGCCTCGTCTACTATTGCGCCGCTGCCACAGAAAGCCACTTGTGTTCACCATGGACTACTCTAGTCTACAGCGCCCGGTGGGCTGGTGAACGGACCGGTATGGGTTGTGGGGGTGCCCGAATTACTCTCAGGCGGCACTCGGGGCCTATATCTGCTGCTATGGCCGTCCAACCGGCGGCGGCGGCGGCGGCGGGGGACGAGGCCGGGGCGGTCCCCGCCCCCGCCCCACCGCCGGCCGCTCGCCAAAGGCTACACGGTGCACGGCATGTAACTGATGTGCGGTGGCAGGCGGCCCGCTCCATGAATCATGCGATTTATTGCAGCCGGGCCGCTGCCAGCGCCGGCCGCCAACTCTATTCTGGGCGGCCTGCCTCAATAACAATGCCGTTGCAGCGGTGGCGGCGGCGGCGGCGGGCGGCATGGCGCGGCCGGCGCCGATCAATGCCAGGGGCCGCCGCCGCCGCCGCCGCCGCCGCGGGCGACTGTCAGGGGCGGCGGCGGCTGGTGTGCCGTCCGGTAACAGTGATACTGTGATACTGTGATACTGTAATATGGTAACAGGGCGGTGTGGAACTGGTGTGAGGTAGATCGTTGATCTGCTGATGGTCTATGGTTGTACTGTTCGGTGGGGAGGGGCGGCGCGGCCGGTGCGGCGCGCGCCCTATGGAGATGGCTATTGCGACAACAACGGACACGACTTCTCACACGCACACACATTCACGGATTATCATCCCATCACACACGCTCGCAGAGAGGCACGCCTGTAGCGCACTTCTCACACCTACTCTGGGGGCGCTTCAGAAGCCACCGCGGGGCACTGAGTGCCCGCGAGTCCCACTTAGCCTAGCGCCGATTTGTCGGCCTCGGGGAGCGCCAGGTCGCTCCGCGGCGTCAGTAAGTACCGAGTCTGGCGGCGAGGAGCGCCGCTGGCCGGCCACCGTTGGCACCGGACTGCAGGCCGACAGACACGCCCCGGTATTGCACGGAGGGGAGAGGGGTAACTGAGGAGGGATAGGGAGGATAGGGGACGGCTAGAAAACCTCGGCGCCCAGCCGGCCGCGCTTCAGAGGCGCGCCGTGCACGACCACCTCGTGTCGGCGCCGGTACCACTTGTTCTTGCACACCTTCTTGCAGAGGGTGCACTCGACGCCGGCAGAGCTGGTGTGCACGTTCACTATGTGCTGTTTGAGGTTGAACTTGTTGGAAAAGAGTCCGTTACAAATGGGGCAGACGCGTGGCTGGCGCGAGCTCCACAGACGGCTGCGGCGCTCCTCGGCACCTCCTGCCGACGCTGAAAGAGCGGGGCGGCCACCGGTAGTGCGTCTCCTTATAGATATCGCCTTTTCAACATACTTTTATCATCTTTTTTTTTTGCAACAAAACAGTGAATTTTTTACCTTTTTTGAGTCGTGATTTTGTACGTAGTTTTATAGCTGTAAGTTATTGTTACTTTTTTAAATCATTTCCTTTAATTTAGCAGTGAAATTTCATTTCGCATTCACACAAAATCTATTTTCGACATTTGCACAATACTCAAACATTTCTTCTCCGAAAACCCAACTGAAATTCGGGTACTATAAAGTCGACTTGACTGAAAATCGCAGACCATGCCAAAGCTACTGAAGAAGGGTCGTGGAACTAGCTAAGTTCTAGCTTTCCAACATCCATGCCGGACGATCGACAGGCTGGTCGGACGGGCGGATCGCTCTCATAGCACGGCCTACGGGCGGGGCCGGGGTCGGGGCGGGGAGTGGGCAGGACCGGAGGAGCGGGAGAGGACGGCTGGCCGGGGCGCGCTGCGCCGTCACCTCAGCCGGAGCTCAGCGGCGCCGGCAGTCATTCAGTGTTGACCATGCTGCCGTCGGGCAGCTTAACGCGCCGCAGCGGGGCGTTGTGCGACTTGACCATGTGTTTGCGCAGGTACCACTTGTTCTTCTGCACCTTACCGCACACCTCGCACTTGAGCTCGTTTCCGAACGTGTGCACGTTGATGATGTGCTGTTTGAGGTTGAAGGCGTTGGAGAAGGTGCGCAGACAGTGGGGACAAACCGAGGGCTGCATGCAGCGCCAGCGCTGCCGGAACCGCGGCGAGCCCGTGCTCGTGCGCAGCAGCATCTGCGCATCTGCAACGACAGAGCAGGGCACGTGTCACTGGCGGCTCGCACGGCGGCACGGACGGCGGCGGCGGCGGCGGCTGAGGCCCGACTGAACCAGTCACCGCGCGACGCCAAATTTAGACGTTATTATTACGGTTTCTTCCAAGACAATTCAAATGGAAATTATTTAACTTTATTGAATACTGTTTTGAAGGTTTACCGTGCCAGTTTTTTGCCAGATGTCTCCAGAGCCGCCGCATTGTGCCACGCATCGGCTCTCTGTCATTGATCTACCTCTGTCTAAGTCATACAGCATGCGCGGGCCGCATACGCGGCGGGCATGCTAGCGGCCCTGGGTCTCGGGCGGGGGCGGGGGCGGGGGCGGGGCGTGCGGCTCACCGTAGGACATGGCCGGCGGCGTCTGCTGATCCTCCTGTCCGATGGACGTCGGCAGGGTGGTGGTGGTGGTCGCGAGCAGCGAGCTGGTGCCCGGCTGGGAGAGGAACGGAAACCCTGCGGAACGCGGCACGAGTCAGCGGGTCAGACCGCGGCCTCAAACCACCGCCAGGGTCACGGACAGGGTCACGGGCACTATCACGGCCAGGGTCACGGGTCACGGTCACGGAACGACCATGTGATAAACTCGGCACGGTGACACACAGTTTGACGTCACAGGAAGCTGCGTGACTTTTCGGAACGCTTCTCCAGCGAATGTCAATCAATCAGGATTTCCTCAGCGCGTGATTGACGGTGAGGTTTCGACATCGGAAAACAGCCCGTGCCGGGAGGTCGGAGCAGGGACCCATTGGATCCGGTGCCAAATAAAGCCCGTCACTATTAGTCATGTCATATGACGAATCCCTCGGTATTGGTGGTCTCGGAATATATCATCGACTAGATAAAGAACGCTCTGAAATTGCGTGATACGTGCACCTTGTTCCGGGTGGGCTATAACGTAAACGTAAAAGATATGCCGAATAAAAATTGCTAAGTTCGATTTCTACATATGGTTTAGAATTGGAATACTTATCATAGGAATTAAACGAATCTTGAATATTTTCTACCAATGACTATTTTTTTTATCAGCATTACTGAATGGCCTTCCAACCCTTTCAACAAATAGTTTTCCTTTCCAACCCAAATCAACAAACCATTGCCCTCTATGTAGTTGTCTGAACTCACCGAGCGACTCTCTGCCGACCATGCTGAGGGCGTTCGGGTCCATGATGAGCGGCCTGGGCGACAGTTTGGCGTGCTCGACCAGCGCCGGGCTGTGCGGCCCGTTGGTCTCCACCTTGACGGGCTGCTCGATCTCGGCGCGGCCGCCCTCGATCCGCTGTCGCAGGATGGACGTCTCGCTGACCAGACTGAGCGCCTCCTCCTGGGTGGTCTCCGAGGAGCCCTCCGGCGGCAGTCCGGTCGGCACCTCGGTCCCGTTGGGCTGCGCGCCCTCCGTCGGCGACGACTGCGAGGGCCGCGACGGGGACACAGAGGTGCCCGGCAGCTCTCCGACACAGGCCGTCGAGCTCGGCGCCGGCGTGTGCAGAGGGTAGAGCGGCTTACGGCGCTTGGCCGGCGGTAGCGGCGCCAGCGGCGGTGCCGACGACTGGCTGGGCCGCGGCGCCTCGCGGAACGACGGCGACGGCGACGGCGTGCCGGAGCGCGGCTGGGGCGAGGGCGGCGCGGCGGCCGGCGCCGACTGGCTCGGCGACGACTGGGTGGCCGGCTGCTGGCGCGCGAACGGCTCGCCGATGCAGTGCTCCGACAGACCCTTGATCTGGAGGAACTCAGCCGTGCGCAGGAACTGCGTCAGCCGCTCCTGGCCGATGTAGACGACGCCCTGGTAGACGAAGCACATGAGCGACAGCAGGTCGTCGTACGACACGTCCTTGAGGACGATGATGGGATGCGAGCACGGTGTCGTCTGGAAAACGGGCGGCGGCTGCGGTCAGATAGGAAACCTAAACCTGATGAGGTGTTGGACATCTAACATGAGACTAATGTCTGTCAGCCTGCGATATAATAGCTATGTTTCTGTTACATCGCGATCCTATTTTTGTGTTCTATACCAATGAAACATGACACTAGATACCAAAGAATTGCTTGAGCTGGGAATACCCATGTGTCAGTTGATCATTATTTTAAAAAATAGATAGCATCAGCTATCAACAAAGCTCTATTTGTAAATGCATAAACGAGAGACCTATAGGCGTGGAAGATACCTGCGGCGTTTGACCGGGACTGCGGGGAGATACCTCGCGGTGAGGTGTGACGGATGATTAATCACTGGGCATTATTCAGACAGACTCACTGCGGAAAGTTTTTCAGTAATAATGTGACTCAGTTACCTAGCACGTACAAACTCATCACAGATTTCCCGCAGCCGCTGAGTGGAGCGACCTTTTACCGCTTGTTTCGCGACTCGCGCCGGCCGCCTGGATTGGAGCCTTGCGGGACAGCATACCTACAGGCGCTTGACGCTGGCGCCATCTATGGACTGGAATATCGTAACTGGGGCGGCGCCGCCGAGCGGAGAGTCTTTCACGGAAGGCCGGACTTGGATTATTTTCTTTAAAGTTAATTTTCAATAAACTTGCGTTAGGTGCATTCATTGCAACCTTCAATAAAGTGCATGGAAGTGGAGGACATGTTAGTTATTCCAGATTTCGAAGCGTTGCCTTATGGCTGGTGCAGGTGCACACTGCACATGTGACCCTATTTCCGTGAGGCATGCTCTTATTTTTTATGATTCATGATACGTCTATCGGCGTTCGTAAACTGTTCATGTCTCATCTATTGAGAATTCAGTTTTATCTCGTTGATTCATCAAACCCAGTTGCGCCTGTTCTGTAATTATCAGCCAACTTTTAATTTGCCCCAGACCCAATGCAAGTTTCAAGTCAACATCCGTTTCCGCCGGGATTTTGCAGCTGTTATTTACTCAAGATGGTCTAGATTCCGGAACATAGCCTCTCTGCAGTCTGCAGCGCTGGTGCGCTTATTCAGTTCGTAAACTTCCCGTCCCCATTGAGTTGCTGCAGCGCCGCTCCTGCCCTGCCTCACGGCCAGTGACGGGCCGCCCCTGTCCTGCCTCACGGCCTATGTCCGTGCGCCGCTCTGCAGCGCTGCACCCTGCAGCCAGTGACAGCCGGCCGGACCGCTCGCATTGCGCCGCGGCTCCGTCCGGCGGATTCCAAACAAAATGGACGGCGCCCGGACCGGTCCGCCGGCGCAGGATTGCCGGCTGGGAGTTTCAGCGGCGAACGGGGGGCGGGAGGGGGGGGGGATTCGCTGACCACTGCAGCAAACCGTCCCACCGACCAGCTCGGGTCTCAGGACCAAACAGGTGCCGCTCGTAAACGGGTTACACGGCGGCAGTCTGCACCCACTAGTGCCTGCGCTCCGCGGCCCTGGCCCTGCTGCCAAGGTTTATGGCTGTGACCGTGACCTGACCCGACCCCACGCACAGCGACTGCTTCCGTGACACCGCTGCTGGCCTCTGATCCCAGATCTACCGAGGACGCAGCCACTGGAGCACCTCCGGCCGACAGTGACCCCAGGGCACACATCCGGGAAACCCTGCAGTGTCCCCGGTCACCATCAGCCGGCGAGCCGCGGGCGGCGGGCGGGCGGCGGCGCCTCACCGGCCGGCCGGCCGGGCATGGCGCCGCGGTCGTTTGTGTGCGTGGCTGCGCGCGCGGGCGTGCGACATTCCAAGGTCAGCGCTCCGGCGTGTTGCAACCGTGCAGCGGCGGCAGGGGCGGCGCTCGGCACACAGGATGGAGCCGATAGCGAGCGGCGATGGCGCTGCTGGCTCCACCGCGACAGAGCCAAACAAGGCCAGCCGGCCCGGCGCACACAGAGCGCCAGCGCGGCCCAGCAGCAGCCGGTCCCGGCAATCGCCGGTACAGAGGGCACTTGGGGGGGGGGGGGGGGTCAGTGTATGGGGTAGGGAGGGAATCCAAGAACAGCCTCGTGATGTAAACTTAGCGAGGTGGTTACTCATAACTGTTTTTTTTGTACATCGGCAAAGGTAGAAAGCCGATTCCATTCCTCTTATCCATACGACTAAAAGAGAAATTGTCAAACTGGAAATTGATCGGAAATCATTCAGCGGCTATAGCGCTGGAGAATTCGCCAGACATACTATGCGTGCCGTGAAAATGATCGAATATTGCGCTAAGGACGTATGAGGTGATGAGTACGCTATGAGCGCAGCTGTGTGAGTATTGATGCAGCTGTATGGGAGGTAAAACGACACGTCGCCATGCATCGGGCCAATTTCAGCCCAGCGTGACAGGTGTGCAATGACTCAGAGAGGGCAGCAGCCTTTGTGACTTACGGCATGGTGATTGAATGACTGGGCGAGGACTGACAAGAAGATGACTGCCGGCCGTGATGGGACTGAAGTCGGCAGATTTCACCGGATGCATCGGCGCACTGTTTGTTTCTTTGTTGACGAACTTCGGCGTCACCCTCTAGTGAGTTCGGAATATAGTTATAATTCACCGTCTCTTACATCGTTTCTTCATTAAATAAAACAATGTCTATCGATTATGGTGTAGACGGTACAGAGCTTCTCGCCTCTGCGGCCGCCCCAAGAGTCGCTCGACTCGCCAGTTGCCCTCATTTCTGTCGGCGTGCGTCAGCGCCCGGTCACGGCTCGGCGACGTGGCCGCCCTACCAAGAACACCACCTGCAGCGAGCGCGCCGGCCGGTCAGGCCTGTCGGGTTCATCAGCCGCCGTGCCCGGTACGTTTTCGCAACACGTCGTAAAGCACGGTAACCGGGCGGCGCCAGCGGCGGCGCGGCGGCGCGGCGCACTGTCCGGCGTGCCATTGGTCGCTGGAGACGGGACGATCGGCTCCGGCTCCGGCGGCGCCGCGGCGCGGCTGTTTATTCCGCTCTGTGGCTCTCTGCAGCGACACTGGCCTGGCCAAGGTCAAACGCGACATGCAGAGGTCAGGGCGGCCGCCGCCGCGCGCCGCTGCAGCCATACTTGGGAGCCGGCCGAGGGGGTCTGCAGGGGGGGCGTCCTTGGACCGTGCAGCCGGCCACAGGGACCGGCTGGCTGCTGCTGGCTGGCTGGTGGGCTGTTTGGCCGCTACTGACGGATGCACTGTGGCGTGGCACTGGACAGAGCCGATCCAGTGCAGATGCGCGCCTCGGACAAACGATTTCCAGCGGAATCTGCGGCTGACTGACTTGGGACGGCGAGAGGCGACTGTATTGACCCAGACGGTGATGTTTCAAGAATGAATCATGTTTTATATCCCGTAAAAACCTATAACATTAATACCAACGTGTGGTGCATTGGGTATCAGTGTTATAAAATGCCAGTATATGTAGACAGTGACATCAAAATATATAGCAATAGCATTAGCCTGCGGATATGCAGTCTCATATAACCCTCACTAAGGCTCAGTTCACCCCGGCTGAAGGTCTCGGAAGTGGAGCACCGTGCGTCTGTAGCCGTCGGTAAAAACTGGATGACATTGACATGAGCGTCAGACGTGATAGCGCTGTTGCCAGTGTGGTACAGGAAGCCAGCGAGCAGATGCCAAGGGTGATGCAACCGGCACGATGGCTAGATGAGCGTGACAGGAGTGTGTGTAAAGATAGAGAGCGCGACCATGCCAAGGCTGCTCGGAAGGCAGTGAATTAAATATTGATTTGAATACAGATTGATGTCCATATCATGGATAAGTAAGATAATTGTGTGCGGGAAGGGAAGAGAGAGAGAGAGAGAGAGAGAGAGAGAGAGGGGGGGAGGGAGAGAGAGAGAGAGAGAGAGAGAGAGAGAGAGAGAGAGAGAGAGAGAGAGAGAGAGAGAGAGAGAGAGAGAGAGAGAGAGAGAGAGAGAGAGAGAGAGAGAGAGAGAGAGAGAGAGAGAGAGAAGGAGATTAAGTAAAAACATGGATGCAGCCCAAAGATCATTTGACCGCACATAAGTGGGCGGCACTTACCTTTAGAAGATCTCGGAAGTACGTGCTGCATGCCGACAAGATCACTTTGTGTGCCTTGAGGCTTTTGCCTTCGCAGGCGAGGGTCACGTCGACGAAGTCCTCCTCTGATCGGAGGTACTCGAACGACGAGATGATATTGTTCTGGAAGTTATTCCAGCGCAGGCAAAACTGCTGGTCCGCCATTTTGAATCTGAAAACAAATGATAGACAATAGATTGTCATGAAGTATTTCAAACCGAAGAAGACCATGCTATGCTTAGAACTATGTAGCAAGGCTTAGCGCTGAAGCATAACACAAATGCGTATATGAATGAATGAATTCATTCATGATTTCGAACAACGAGACGACTGACAGAATCGATTTGCCTTTTTCACTGAAAACAAATATGATCGTATATTTCAACTGTGAATATTTTTAATCGTATATTTATTGCTTGTGAATTAAATATACCTTGTGACCTGACTTTATCCACTGAAGTACGGCTACTCCACTCACAGAAGGTAGGAGCGTCCTGAGGTGTCCGTGATCTATCCAGAGCCCAACTGAGAGACGCTTCATTACCAGCGCGAGAGGAAAACTAGCCAGTGACACAGCCGGACACACATCCCCCTGGAACCTTCTCTGGACCCCCCCCCCCCTCCCCCAGCACCCTCCCCTATCTTATCTTCATACGTCAAAAGCACCAGCATCTCGGGGAGGGAGGAGGGAAAACCGATAAGGACTCGTGTTGTTTTCGCGTATGGCCCTTGCTTTTCGCAACCTTGTCCAGAGGTCTTCGCTCCTATCTGGGGATGGAATGTCGAAAAATCACATGGCAGATAGCTGAGGTTAAAAAATGCGAGTGTTAGGAGGCTGTTTTGAGGCTAGCTAGAATCAGATATTTTTAGCCGGTCTCCATAACCCATCCGGTGACATTTATCTGCATCCTCTCAGATGACCGTATGGTATAACCGCCTAATCACATGATAAATCCAGTGTGAGAGTGCCTGTGGCCAGCTGGTGGTGACAGTCCCCACAGCCCACGGCGAGAGTGGCCAGCCAAGGTCTGCCGAGCGGGCCCTCGGACCGGCATCCAGCTCTGTCACCACCAGAGACACACAATGAGACAAGTCGGCGACCTTCGGTTGATGGGATTGATGTTCCAAACAACCTCTCGACTGGCCGACGGACGGAGACGGGTCTGCAAGATACCGGGATCGTCTGCTAACGAGGAGACCGGGCGGGAGCGGCTGCTGGGGGCCTTACAGGGCGGCTGCTGGGGATCTTACAGGGCGGCTGCGTGGGATCTTACAGGGCGGCTGCTGGGGACCTCAGAGGGCGGGCTGACGGGCCGCTGAGCTGATGGGCTGCTGGGCTGCTGGGCTGCTGGGCTGACGGCCTCTGATAGCAGACAGCTGAGGTCCAGACTGCCGATGGTAAACTGCGAGAACTGATTGTTACACAAAGTGATAGGTATTGTTTTCTGCATCAAACTGATGATCATTTGCTGACCGTGGCTGAAGCTAGCGATAATAGCGCTGGAACCAGCTTCGGTTACTTTTTTCCTCGGGTCTTATTTTTTTCTCCTGGTTCTTGCTTCGTGTCAGCTGTTTCTAGCTCACTCTATTAATTTCACGCTCGTAACCACCTTAGCCCTTGTCTCTGCAAGATTTAATTGTTGCGTTTAATAGGCGTTAATATAAAAATGGAAAGTTTGTGAATGTATGTACCTAGTCATCAGGTAAAAAAGCCTCAGACTTGGGAATCTTGAAGCCCAGCAAGCATAGCTGGTTTTAAAATTAAAGATAAAAATCAGAGAATCATGTGCTGTAATTAAATTTTAAAACCTGGAATCGGCGCTGGTCATTTGTCTCATGATAACGGGAGTTTCAAACTACCCACACCACCCCTGATAGCCACATACGTCACAAAGAAGTTACGAGCCATGGTAGGTATATAAAGGTAACTGAGCCACTCGGTTTACGTGTATGTACATCGCATGACGAATGTATTTGAACAGCTGGTACATTGTAAAAACAAAATAGCAAGAAGAGTGTGTTGCACACAGCTGCAGCATCAGCGCGAAAGGATACACCCGTTCTTTTCTGCTGGATCAATATCACTCTCTCCAAAGAACAGAAGTTGATACGGCTTGTTACGGTGACTCAGTGATCTTTTTATCCTGAACGTACCTACCCGAACACCAAATTGACTTTTTTGTCCCCTACAGGAGACATGCAACTGTATTCCACTACAAAAAGTCGTCTCTCGTCTTTCCATGATTGATTTTTAGAGGGTATCTACGTCTTCGCATGTTCCGAAACAAATACCTACTCACTTCGTTTATGTTTAACAACAATGGAAATCTGCAAAACCGCCTCACTTGAAAAACGGCGACCTGTTTTGAGAACTTATTGCATGATGAAGAGATAAAAATAGCCAAGAAATATGTCCCATCTCAAATAACACATGTCGAAACAGTGTGGCCAGAACAAGGCAGGAGGCGATATTACACAAGCTAAGGAAAAAAATGAAATATAGCATATGCACGTTACTTTAGTGAGAAAACGTCTAATTCGTGGTAAATAAGGCATCGCATGGGCTTATGCTGTCAATAAAAAGAGATTTAACATTGGCTGATCGGCAAGCAGAATTAAATCAAAATCATTTATTTGATATTGTTAACTACAACGAAGTTTTCAGGCTTTCGTGTTTAAAAGGGCAAATGAAAGGGCAGATGCTGACTGTATAAAGCTTGTCTTTATAAGTTCCGTTGACGGTAACACCAATCACCATAATCGATGGCACATTCATAAATCATGACACCGGACATAATTGATTCCATCACACATGACACCAGTCCACACGCTACAGTCACCGCGCTTACCCCTATCAACCCCGCTCTCTCTCTCCTCCCGGCCTGGCCCGTGCTCTCTCCCGGCGGGCGCCGCGGACCCCATGACCTGCGGCGCAGTACGAGCAGACATGACCACTCCAATACCACTACCAGCAGCAGCGGAGGCGGCGGCGGCGGCGGCCCGTGCAGCGCCGCACTGCTCACACTGCAGGACGGCCATGGTAGGGCAGGTCAGTCCTCCGCGCCGCCGCCGCCGCCGCGCCACCATGGGCGGCAGTGGGGCAGGTCATGTCCCGCCGCCGCCGCCGCCGGCGGGTGGCCGCCGCTCGCAGTGCGCCGTCCGGCCGCCCCCGACTCACCGTGTGTCCGTCCGCGGGCCGGGGTGTGCGTGCGTGCGCTGCGGGCCGGGTCAGACTGCGGGCCCCTCTCTCATCTCGGTGCGCGGCGCTGTGTGCCAGCGGCGCGCTCTGGCGTGTGGCACCGACTGAGGCGCGCCGCCGCGCGCCGGCCGGCCCCGCGCCACGCAGACGCTCACGCAGTTTTTGCGCCGCCGGCCTCGCCGCTGCACTTGCAAGAGAAAACAAATCAATAGTGAAGTGTCATGGCGCTGCCGGCCATGGCTGGCGCGCGACGGTCCCCACTCGGAGAGAGGGAGGAGAGGGCCGGGGAGAGTGCGGAGGAAGATAAATTTAGAGGAATAGTATGACCGGAAGAGGAAAGAAGGAAAAGTGATGCAATGAAGTGGAAAGTAGAGCTGCAATTTTTAGAGCCACAAAGCCGGCGCTTGACCCGTGATTCAATCGAAACGAACCGGGTATCTATGTGCGTCGTGCGACCTCGCCATTATAAGTAATTGAAAGGAAGTGGAACTGCGACCTTTTTTGACGGAAACCATTTTTAACACTAAAACATCGCGTAGCAGGGCAATATTGCACATTAAACCGGAAACTTCCACCCACGATCCCATTTTGGGTCATTTCAGGCAGGGCCGGATCCAGGAAGACAGTTTTATCAAAATCGGTCAAAAAATAAAGAAGTAAAAATAAAGAAGCATTTTAGTGATCAGGTGAAAAACGCGATTTTTTTTCGAAAACTTTTGCTTCCAGGACCCCCAATTTTTAACTTTTTTGACTTTTTATAGTGAATCTGAAAGTTCACGATGAGAGCGATCGAATGGCGTTTGTCCCATCAACCGGCGCACCGACGGGGGGCAGATATCCGCCTCCCCCCCCCCCCTGAGGTTTTTCGTAGATAGCAGGAAAACCGCGGCGCGTAGCGCCGCGAAATTTGGTACGACTATTCTCTCATCAATTTAACATATGGTGTGCAAGTTTGAACCTCTTAACCCGCGAGTTGCTGGGGGGCGTTAAACGCCCCACTTTTTTCGCCGGGCCATAGCATAAAAACGGCGCGCCGCAGGCGCGCCAGATTTTGGGTACTTGTAGGGAATTGATTGAAGTTTATTGTGACAAAGTTTCAAAAAAAAATCGGTCGTATCTCTAAGAGATACACTTTTCTGTACCTATCTCTTAAGCTGTAGGCCTGACAGCTCTTCCCGCAAAACCTTTTTTTGGGTCAAAAATGGCAGAATGACGTCACTCTGACGTCATTAATGGCCAACCTATCATAGCCTTTGGAAAAAGTTTTGGTCACAATGTGCAATAGCTGTTCACGGGAGGGTACTGAAAGTTTGGTGCCGATCAGCGCAGCGGTTCTGGAGATATATCGAAAAAACTAAAGGGGGGGGGCAAAAAATGCCCCCCCCCCCCACCGCCTGGAAGGTTAATGGGACAAACGCCATTCGATCGCTCTCATCGTGAACTTTCAGATTCACTATAAAGAGTAAAAAAAAAGTTCAAAATTGGGGGTCCTGGAAACAAACATTTTCGAAAAAAAAATCACGTTTTTCACCTGATCACTAAAAATGTTATACCTAGGTAACTTCTTTATTTTTGACCGAGTTTGATAAAACGTCAGGGGACCCTTCTTCATGGACTGGTTTATCATAAATATTCCGGCATTTTGGATATTTCAAAAATGATAGGCGGATTCAGGTAACCTAACTTGGGATGATGTTTTGAGTTTTTGTCATGGTAGGTATGTCATGTGTCTAATGACATGATATATCATATATCATGTAAAATATGCAACGTGAGCAGTGAGCACAAAATATACACGTTTTCGTTAAGCATAGACGGATTCAGGCATGCTAAGACGGGGGGCAGTACATTGAGATACCCCCCTTTCTTAGGTACCTGGGTCCGCCTATTCCAATATTTTCATTGTAGAATGACGTCACATAGTCTTTAGGTGCATAGTATATGACGGAAGGTGCCACTGATCACCATTACAAACCTAAGTAAGTCGCTGCTTAGCGGCAAATGTCGGAACAGTCAAAGCTAGGCCAAACCTACCCCTAAGAAACTCGTCCTGGAGACGCCTCTGCGCAAGCTAGAAACTAAAGAAAATTGACACAATGTGCCCAATGAATGGCAAGGGAAAGTCACAAAATTTCAAGCCCCTATCTAGAGTGATTTTCCGTCGAGAGCAAAAAAACTACAGGTGGGGGCCGATTCGGCCCCCCTCCCCCAGTAATAGGGTTAAAACGCCGCTACATCTTCATTTCCAAAGGAATCAAGACGTAACAAAAAAAAGTTTATATGTGATTCTACTTTGTGTATCAAATGGCTATCTCGGCTATTTGAAAAATTTGGATTTTGGTCCAATTTTTTTACTGACTTTTTTGGGAAAATAATCATAAAATCGAAAATTCTCACTGGATCGAAAGAAGCGGAATATATGTCAGAGAAGTGGTCTAGGTGCACCTACATACCAATCTTTAGAAGAATCGGTTCAAAACTGTGGGAGTTATTCAAAATATTATGACGTCACAACACACAACATTTTTGAAAAATGATTTTTTTGGACGTTCTAGACCTCGTACGGAAACAAAAATAGCCCCATTCGATTCGCCGTGAAAAACTGCATCAGATAAACACTAGGTCTTAACAGCCAACTTCAAAATTTGACCTCACTTGACCTGCCCTTGACCTGACCTCGACCTGAAAATCATCCATATGTGGTCCATATCAGTTATTAAGCGTGCCTATTGTAGGTATTCTATGAATAAAATGACCCATAAAACATGTGTCGCACCGCGCACGTGTCCTTTTCTATATTTCGTTTTTGGTGGCCTGACCTGACCTTGACCTTGACCTTTGAATGATGTTGTATGCAACGAATAATAAAATAGTCCATTCTTCGGCAACAACGGTGCAAGGCCGATACTGTAGAAACTTGCGTTTTGCGCCGTTGACCTGACCTTGACCTAATCTCTGACCTTCTTAAGCATAAAAAATCGGCTCTTAAGATCGGCCTTGTTGATAGCTTTCGATTGCCGTTTTCTCCGTCTTTCTACGACCATCGGTTCGGAAGTTAGACAGGCTGCCCCCCCCCCCCCCAGCAGGGCGCGTACACTGTAAAAAATATTTAGAACCTAAGGTGCTTGTAGGGTGGCTGGATTTACACCTAGTATCAATACAGTTCTGATATAAGTCGATATTTTAAGTAGATTGATAACGTACACCTTGGTTAGAACAAGATTACTAGCCGCACCATTTCAGTACACATTGATACTTCTCGAAGCATACGAAACAAAATAGCACCTTTCACTGATAAACATAATTAGAACCCAAGGTGGTTGCAGGGTGGCTGGATCTGCACCTAGTATCAATATCGTTCTAATAGATTGATGCCGTAGGCTGAATAGCCCAATAGAGGTCCACGCACCGTGTGCTGTCATGGAGCTCTAAGTGACGCCTTTTTGGCGGCGAAACACCGTGTATAGTTGCAATATACCGTATCGATTTTAGGACTAAAGTACGTGTCGCTAAAGTACGTAGGACAAAAGTACGTATGCAAATGTTCGTACGCAAATATACGTAGGCGATAAAGTTCGTATGCCAAAAGTACGTACGCAAATGTTCGTACGCAAAAGTACGTATGCAAAAGTACGTAGTGTATAAAGTACGTATGCCAAAAGTACGTACGCAAATGTTCGTACGCAAAAGTACGTATGAAAAAGTACGTAGTGCATAAAGTACGTATGCCAAAAGTACGTACGCAAATGTTCGTACGCAAAAGTACGTATGCAAAAGTACGTAGTGTAAAATGTACGTATGCCAAAAGTACGTACGCAAATGTTCGTACGCAAAAGTTCGTATGCAAAAGTACGTAGTGTATAAAGTACCTATGCCAAAAGTACGTACGCAAGTGTTTGTTTGTTTTGTTGGGTTAGGCCCTTTCGGTCGACAAGACCATTGCAGAGCCGGAAGGATGATAGGAATTAGGGGGAGACATTGGTCTGGGCAGGCATCCTAGTGAGTCGCCGGGGCTGAGCCCGTCCGAAGACAGGCCACCCAGCCCCAAGGCACTCACTGCACCCGGCTACGGGGTGCGCTCCCTCAGGAGCAGCGGTGCCGCTCCAAGGGAGCAGCCCGCATGAGATAAAGTTGCCTGTCCAGCCCGGAAGGGGGTGGCGGTGCGGAGGAGAAGGATTTCAGTATCCTGAGGATAGAAGCACGGATAGGTGCGCAAGTGTTCGTACGCAAAAGTACGTATGCCAAAGTACGTAGTGTATAAAGTACGTATGCCAAAAGTACGTACGCAAATGTTCGTACGCAAAAATTCGTATGCAAAAGTACGTAGTGTAAAAAGTACGTATGCCAAAAGTACGTACGGTTCGTATGCCAAAGTACGTAGTGTATAAAGTACGTATGTTAGAAGTAGGGTATAGTCGTGTAAGTTGGGCCACTTTTTCTTTATTGCTGCTCTGTTGCCATACTGCAGGGAACTCATGATAAATTCATATACCAAATAATATAGCTTTTTCCATTTCGCCCATTTACTCATCAATAAATTTTGCTATGCCTTGTAACAAATGCTCATTAAATAAAGAATCAGAAAGGTATTACACATTGATCAACTTAACCCAAGGGTGGGGTACGTACTTAAAACCCTACGTACATTTGCTATACGTACTTTTGTCCGTGACGTACTTTTGTCCACACGTAGGGTAGACCGGGGCAAGTCGCCCCGCCGAGGTAAAACGCCTCACCGATGTTTCTCGGAACTGGCAGGGTTCTGGGGAAAGATCCTCTCTTCTGTTAATCTAGTGCAGGGGTCGGCAAATGGTGGGGCATGCCCCCTTTGGCGGTAATGGAGCCCTTTCGGTGGGGGTAATGAGGGATTCTGAGAAAGCCTATCTTTTTATAGTATGTAGCTCCAGTGATGGAGCCATCGTGACTGTTGCATCCCAGGGTTCAAAGATTAGCCCAGGCCAAAGGCACAGCACACTATTGATTAGATACCAACTTTCACGTATGTACCTGCTCGCCTCACCATCTCACCCCTCCGTGCAGTCGTTCAAAAGCAGCTGCAACTTTTAACCGTCGCCCGTCTGTTGGCGTTTCAACAGCCGCTAACGTAAGGGGGAGGAGTCGATCGGACCCCCGCGGCCTCTCGGACTCTGATATGGAGCTGTGCATAAAAAAGACGAGCGT